CTATAGTAGGTTGGAGGCCATCGCTATAGTAGGTTGGAGGCCATCGCCAGTAGGTTGGAGGCCATCGACAGCAGGTTGGAGGCCATCGCTAGTAGGTTGGAGGCCATCGCTATAGTAGGTTGGAGGCCATTGCAAGTAGGCCATCGCTAGTAGGTTCTCTCTGAGGTTCTCCGAGGCGACCAGCCTGAGTTGGTTGAAACCTTTTGAAACACAACTCTGTGGGCCTCTTTAGAGTCGAAGGTAGTCGAAGGTCAAAGTGCACATGATTTGTCAAGGACGCTACTAGTGGCTCCTGGCCTTACTACTAGGAGCCAGAAGTTACTAGTTACAAAGGGCATCGTTACTAGGAGCAAGGACGCTAATGTCGTTTTACCGCGCTTTTTCCTTTTCTACTTTGTTTGTCGGTCGACCTGCACCTCTCGACCCGACATATGCGTGATGGCTACAGTGCACGCATGTCATGTCATGTTTGATGTGTGAGTACTTCCGGGTTCGGCAAATTGCCGTGCCTTTCTTGAAACCTGTGTGAGTGAATGAGTTTGTCTGGGTTTTCAAGTACGACTGGTGTATGATTTCCATGCGGCGCGCGAAACGGCGTTTCACCAATCTCCTCTCTGTCGATAATGATGACTGCGTGGGCATCTTTGAAATCTTGAGCAATTCGGACCTCAGTCGAGCAAAAGAGACAAAGGAATTGCATGTTGAAAGTTCGTCACAATGTCTTCCATTAGAGCATGTTGTTTCACGTTCTTTGCCACTTTGTGGGGGGGTCGACCACGATTTGCTTCCAATGCCAAGGATGTGGTTTTGTCGTGTTAATGTTGTTTTGGAGACGGCGTGTTTCAGCATGTCACTCTGCGATTCAAAACCTCCGCTTTCTCAGATGCTCGACAGAAAGCAACTTTAGGTCATCAACTTCAGACGACTATAGTATGACTATAGATGTTCGTGCAAGACCCCGTGCAACCTGCAAAGGAACAACACACCCGAAATGCAAGTTTTGTCACTGCAGTGTTGCCCTCTTCGACACAACAGCCCACCGTGAACGTGGGCATTTTGAGTCGTTAAATCTAATTTTTAGTGAAAAGCAAACGAACCTTATATAACCTTATTATGATTCGATGTGCACAAAATGCCAGCCAAACCAGCTTCTGAAATATTACTGATATTTTTGCTTTTGGCTCTCGTGACTGTGATTGAGGGTCTCCGATTTCTTGAGAACAGGTGACGGTACGCTGACTCGTCCTAGAACCCCACCAAAGTGAGAGCGTGGCAAATAGTAGTAACAGCTTTCCTCAAGTTTCTATCGATGAGATCAGGATAGCCGTTTTGTACCAACGAGACCTCAGAATCATGGAAAAAGACTGCAGGACCACAATTGCCTACTCCATGTTGAAAAACTGCGTCCACACTGAGCCGAACATAAAGTTTGCAACTGTGGGGCGGCAAGGTCATAAGGCAACCAGTTTTGTTCAGTTGTCCGAAAGCTGGAAAACCAACACCAGTTTCCCCAGCGCCTACTGTGCACGTTCCCTTTGACTAATACGTATGTTCAGATCGAAAACCTGACGGAGAATGACAAAGCCCTCAACTTCAACAAAAGTTCTCAAAACGGTGTTTGGTTTGTGAAGCGTTGCCATGGCTCGCCTAAAAAGCAATATAGAACAGGTTAGTTTCCATATGTACCATACTATTTGTGCCACACGTACGTTGTATTCTACTCTGCATGTGATACATTTGTTGTTCTTTGTTTATCTCATCACTCCCAGTCCACTCCTTCCCCACATCCCCCGCAAACTTGCACTGGGTCTTGCAATGCCCCAGCATGATTTGCACAATGTTTGTCATGGGTGGCTTACACAGGCACAATTGTTGAGCACCTGCGGCAAAACTTGTGCAGAACACAGTGGACCTGCCTCCACTCACAAAAAATGAACCTGGAAAACTGCCGGTGCAGGGTACACAATGAACCTTGTCTACCGGGTCCTGACGTTTGGGGTTCCTTTCTTGGCTGGCACCCAGTCTGACCTTGATTGCACGCAAGACTACATGGGCTAAGGCCGTGGCGGAGAGGCGCCTGCTACTAGTAACAAGTGCCACGCTAGTAGTAACAAAAAGCTATTCGAATTAAATTAAGAATAATAGCTTCTTGTTACTACCAGTAAGGCACTTGTTACTACTAGCGTGGCACTTGTTTCTATTTATAACTACTACCGCCGCCGGCCACCCTTTCCGGCCGCAGAACTAGATGGGCCAAGGCTGTGGCAGGGCAAATGCCACTCCTCTTTCCACAAGTTAAAGGATGTGTATTGTTTGAATGGTTTGCTTTGCCGCTTTGCCCAAGGTATTCTCTGTGTCAAGCCAGCTTGCTGTACTGGAATGTGCTAAGGTTGATCAAATTGACGCTTCACGCAATGCATAAACATCAATGAAACTCCTCTCAACTTGGCACAGATTCAGTGCTTCATAGTCAAAAAGAAGATATCCTGTGTGGGCTTATCTTTGATAAGCTTTAAAGAGATTGTCCAGGCATCATCCGTCCAAAATTCTGAATATCTGCAAATCGCAACCCTTTTGTATGCTCTTCCTTTTTCTTTCGTGTTCTCAATCGTTGCGTCCATCGAGCAGAAATGAACTCTTCAAACAAAGCTTCATCTCTCTGCACGCGTCCATCGAAGCGGTCAGAACATTTGCGTTAAGGGGTCTGGACCTTCATTGGCACAGTTCGTTCTAGGAGCGACGCTACGAACGGGGCTCCTGGCCTTACTACCAAGAGCAAGAATGCTAGTCTGACGACATGGCAAGAGACTCATTGCTCACCAAGTCGTATCAACCCCGAGAGTCCGTGGTCAAACTCCTAAACAAAGAGGTCAAGGAGTCACTTCCAAGTCGAAGGGTATGTCCATACAGGAATAGCAAACATGAGTCTCGTTCGCCAGCCTTTGTCTTCAACTTCTGAGCAGTTTGTCCCTCTGGCGGGACGTCGAAGTTTCCATCTCCAATCAAGGTAACGGGCGTTTCATTGCCCTTGAAGATGTCTGGTGAAAAAACTAATTTCAGGAAAAAAACACCCGTTGAGCCGCCTATTGGTCTATTTTGGTGCCTCGCATCACCGCATCACCCCAATGCAAAAAAAAAGTCGGAGTATTTCAGTCTACTTGTTCTTCCAAAATTGAAGTTGTGAAATAAAAATAATACCAAATCTTCCTTTGCAGTTTTGCGCGCGTCGCGAATAATAGAGCTTGCTGCTCTCAAGTTTGCCAGTGTCCCATCCGACACAGTTGCAGAAGCTATATGAAGCCATGCCACTTCGGGCAGCATTTTGGGGAGCACTTTGTCGAGATCGCCACTGTGCTTTCATATGCGGAGTGCATGGGCTTATGCGAAGTGTCCGATGCATCGGAGATTTGTCGCTGCGAGAAAGAGAATTGCAAAACATCTTCTTCGGGGCATGGATCTAGTAGGATATCAGCTGGCGGATTCAACATCCGGCGTGCGCAAAATCACCCTTCTTCCAAGGACTCCACTGATACAACCCCTTTATCTCTTCCCTCAAAGCTATTCAATATTTATTCTTTGGATTTCCTGCGAGAATCATCAACTTGGCTACCGATCCGCGATCCACGCAAACACTGAACCTTCAAGATCACAAAAAATCCAATGCATCTATCCGGCTGGAGGATCCAGCCCAGCTTTTGGACATTTGAACATCTTGCCAGACAATGCGAGGAGCATTTGTGAGGCCATAAATGGCCCTTAAAGCACCCACCAGCTGCCCAGGTCCTAACCTAAGGACACAGCCATCTTTGGAACTGCCTTCGTACACAAGCGCCTATCTTCTTCGAAATAAGCAGCTTGCAAAAATTCAGATTTGGCATCAGCGGATCAATCTCACGTTCATCGAAAGCAAAGCGTTGAAGGAGAAGATTTATTTGAGTGGCGCTGCTGTCTTAAGCTGCTTTTGACCCGAACTCCATGGTACAAGACATTTTTTGGCTCCTGCGTTGGGGCCAGCTATTGCCTCTAGCCGCAAAGGTGACAGCCAAGAGCCAGCTATTGCCTCTAGCCAACCTAGATATTCCTTTTACCCTGTTTAGGATTGCATCGTCAACAACGTGTGTTACTATGACAAGGCGCATGTCTTGCACATGTCAGGCTGTGACAGCATTCCCTCTTCCAACGTTCCGGTATATACACGCTGCAACAATATCTGACCGGTCTTGTAGATCAGGCAGCTTGATCCATAGTAGCATTCTTGCTCCTAGTAGCAAGGCCAGGAGCCCCTAGTAGCGTTCTTGCTCCAAGTAGCGATGCCCTTTGCTCCTAGTAGCGTCCTTGCTCCTAGTAATTTGAAAGCATTTTTTTGCGCCATAAGGCAATATTGTTTGTAAGTTGCTTTGGCCCAGGCTCTCTGTCACTGCCGAAAGTTCACAGGAGCGAGACTTTGAACAGATCAAGGCATATGTTAGTGTATGGCCTGCTGTCGTTTGGGTTGCAGCCCTGTCGCTTTGACTTATGTGTCGCATTGCGTACACCGACACGCTCACTTCTGCTTCGTGCTTTTCAGAGGCGTTCTGTGTAGGGAAAGAAGTGGTGTCCGAACCACTGCAGTCTGCCGGATTGAGCATGTCGAAAACGTGTTGTTACGGATGCAATCTCTGGTGATATGATGATGCATTATGATTGCAAATGCAATCTCTGTAGTAAGATTGAAGGCGTCTTGGATTCCCAGCCTTGGTGGTAAAGGAGCAGTTCCCACGTCTCACCATGACGATGTTGATCAGTCGCACCTGGACAAATCAGGCTTGGCATGGGTTAGCCGCAATGTAAGGGCATCTCCATCAAGAAAGCGAGTTTCCCATAAAAATCTAGTAACCACATGAATAGTGCGAGCGCTTCTTCAAGGAATCTCCTCCCGCCCTGCAGTGTCCTGCCTTCTCATAGCGACTTTTCCCTACTTTGTCGGTCTTCGCTTTTGGAATGGCATAATCGCCCTGGTCGCAATTTTGGTGCTGAATGCGTGAAGATCTGTATCTGGATTGCTAGATCGGTTCAGAGCACTGATTGGTACTGGGACAGGGATGTGAAAAAAAACGCACATGTTTGTCTTAACCTGAAACGGTCGGTCCTTGGTGCAATGATTGTTCCGGGTCGGCGCACCATAGACCTCAGCTGGAGAGCTTCACTGGTCGCTTTGTTCTGGACATTGTTTTTCCTCTTCTAGTAGCAATGCCCTGGTCGCATTCTTGCTAGTAGCCATGCCCTTTGTTACTAGTAGCGTTCTTGCTCCTAGTAGTAAGGCCAG